TTACCACTTTTTCAACATTTGTCCAAGCAATTTATCATAATAATTATGACTAAAATTAATTCATTAGTATAAATTATATTTTCTACTCAAGACAAACTGCCGTCTGAAAAAGCACTAACTGCCGCACAAAATTTACTGGACTGCGGCGTTGCACTAGGAGCACTTGATGATAGATATAAATTACTAGGACAACGACAAGTTATAGCAACTGAAAGCCCTGGACTGAGGCTATATCAAGAGATACAAAACTGGCCACATTGGAAGAGCAAAGCTTGATAACCAATTAATATCTCAATAGAATAAAATAAGAAACTTATAAACAGATGTACTAATTTTGAATAAAAATATTTTGCCATATTGATTAATAACTTGCTAATATCAAGTTCAAATTTAATTTTATTTATAAAAGAATCTTAATATTCGATGTCAAAGAAGATGATACGAAATGAAGATCAACATCGACAAATCGAAATTCGGAAAATGAGTGTATATTCGTCTATCTCAAAGTAAGTGCTGTTAGTATGATATCGAAAAATATAAAAAATAGGAGTTTATTTAAAAGAAAAATCTAAAAAACATGTTTTATTCAGAAATTGCAATTGAGAAAGCAAATGACCACTGAATTGTATACACGGCGAACATACTCGTCAATACATAAAAGTCTGTTCTTTTTCATAACGAGTATGACCGTCGAGCGCAGTTAATTGGTTGATTGAATTATTGTAATATTGCTAAACATATTAAGTAATAATGGATTTGGCACAATAGAGATCATCTATAGTGAGTGTTCTTTTACTGAAGGAAAAATATAAAAAAAGACAACATTTGGAATATGGCATTGTATATATAAAATTAGAGACATGGACTCTGAAGATCGTCGATAAAAAAAATACATTTTTTTATTTTTTTCTAATTATATAACTGAAATTTTAAATTAACTGCAACTAAAGGAGAGAAAAGGATTATATAAAATGTGATGATAAGTTTTCGAATTGGCCGCCAGAGCTAAAGCCTATCGCACCGTAATCTATGGTAGACTGAATGATCTATGTTATTTATGTTTTCTATGCCTATGTTTTCTTTTGACATTGACAATTCTATGTTGACAAACCTAAGTTTAACCTAACTTTTTAGTGCATATATATACGTATTTATTTCAATCAGAAATTTTAATTGTTAAACTTATAGAATTTTATTGTGGAACTATATATTCGAAAATAGGGCTAGCGTGCTGAAGAAAAATGTCGCAAAATCTTCTGCAAGATATATTACAAGGTTTTGTAAATGAAGAAAACTTATATCGTTGGTTGATAAGTGACGTAACGGACAATGTATGTTTGCAAATTTTGAAAAAGATGTTCGTTGTAATAACTCAATATTTAGTAAATCATGTACTTTTAGGTTTTGTCTGCCACATATAATTGTACAAAAACGGATTTTATATTTTACTATCTGAATTTTGTGAGAAGCCAAACAAACAGGTATCTGAATTCAACAGTATTTTGCATAAAATATTTACATAGTTTGCCCTTCTTCTAAAGTTATTTTCTTCACATATATTACTTCAAATTATAAATAAATCTTTCATAATGAATATTCTTCCAGAGGTTTTATTGTAATACTTACCTAAATATTACTGACACTCTTCAAACTATTTTAGATTTTTAAAAAATGATGAAAATCCAAATGAATCAAATGATAGAAGCAGAAATTATACAGGATCTACTCACTTTTCCAATAGTGCGCATGATTCTAATACAAGTTTATTACAAAATGAATCCTATATCGAGGAAGGAACAAATATTCAAGAGAAAAATATTATTGGTTCAAATAAGATTATACATAATTCTCTACACATTGACAATGCTTTTAATGAAAACGCTTTCAGCCCAGTTCCTCATTCTGGTAACACAAAACTGAATGAATCATCTGGGTCTGTTTATTTCAGTACTCCAAACGATCAAAAAAAGAGAAACAACTCAATTTCAAGTAAATCCTATTCAAAATCCCAAAAGTCAATTGAAAGGGTTTCCATAAATTTTGGTGATTACATTCAGAATGCTTCTAGCAAAAAACATAAGCACCATTCTGCAAATAAGTCAAGAAGTATAAATACTTCGAATGAGAAATCAGATTTAACTTGCAGTGTAGATCAAAACACTACTGAAAATAGTTATTGTAAAGATATCACAGGGACACCTGAAAGTAGTAGATCAAATTTAGATAGCCAATTTCCAGCACTTGGAGAGAGACTTTCATTTCAGAAGAGTAACTCAGTATCTAAAATTAATCGAAGCAAGCGTATAAAACCTACTTCACTAAATTTTAGTGACTGTGATATAAATAAAAGTGATTCTATCAAGACTAGTTTCAACGACATTAATGAAAGGCAACAAAACTGTAATTCATCGAGTAATAATTTCCAAATGGAACGGTCTATTCTTCGAAATGAAAAAGATTTTATAAAAAAACAATTTGAGAATAGTAAACATATAAAAACGATTTTCATTAATCCAAAAGAAAAAAGTACTGTTGTGAAAGTATCAGATCCTGGAGATATTTTGCAAGTCACAAGAAGAAAGGAATTAGATATTTTAGCAAATATTTATAATGTGATACTAAATAATAATTTAGTTGTAAATTTTTTTAGTGAATTAAATTTCATATTTTCTTTGTTGAATGTTGAGAAAATTGATGACCAAACAGATAATTCTGATCTATTTCCAACTTTTCATAATTGTATATACTTTTGTATAAAAATTTTACGAGAGCAGAAACAATTTTTTATTCTGCTTGACAATGATACTTTAAGAGTATTAAGTGATAATAAACGAATACAAAATTTTAATCATGATTTGAATTTGTTTTTAAAATGTGTTTTAAAGCGAAAAAGTGTTCTCCCAACACCTACAGATGGTAGCTTAGGGAATAAAAACAATGTGTGTTTTCAAAGTGAAACAGACAATAGAGAAAACTTTACATCTGATCAAACATTTCGTGCATTCAGAAAACAAAGAGATTTATTTTATGATATGCTTAGGTAAGATGAAATTTATATTGGTATTTTAATGTTAAAAAAATCAGAAGAGATTGATTTCAACATAATGAAATAATCATTTTAAATAATCACTGAAAATGATATTTTTATAAATTAAAAATATTTTAAAATCTAATGTATATTTATATCCTTTACAGAAATTGGGAATCAATGCACAATACACCAAACTATTCTTTTGCACTATATGATTCAACTATGATGATGCTATTCAATGTTAATGGGACATTAATACCAAATAAAATGCAGCAGAGAAAGTATAATGAACATAATGAGTTTGGTCGCATAAATGTTATTTATAATAATGTTTGTAATATGGCACATTTAGCGAGATTATTTGTCAAACAATTATTGGCATCTTGTGAATCTGAGGTAAAAGGAATATTTAATTGAATCGGAAATTATTATTTGAATATATAGTATCAAGACGGTCAGTATCGTATGTAGCAAAAATTAAAATATTAAATCTGGATTATGTCTATTCCGTCAGAAGCTATAAAGCAATATTTTACAATTACATATCTTCTTTAGTTCAAAGTATATTGAAAATAATATTGATACTAAAAAGTAAAAAAAAATGGATATAAATTCATTATGTAACTTATTTAATAATCACAATTGTAGTGAATTGTATTTGTTTATATATAGCATACAGAATTTAATCAACTTCTCATGGAACATCTACCAAATGTAGATCCTAACCGATTATCACGACTTAGTAACAGATTTACAACGAATGCGACTACTACGAGTGATGTAACAGCTTTTGTTGGAGTACAAGAATTTTTCAGGTGTATATTAACAAAATATTTAAACGTTTTAATAATTATGATTTTCAAAATTTTACAAATTTTAAATTATACAAAATGTTTTAATATTTTTTTAATTTTCAGAGACTTTATTCAGTATAGTGATAATCATACATTTTTGGAACACTTAAAAATTGTCATGTCAAGTGAAATTTTGGACATTAATTCTGCATGCCTTGAATTTAAAAGCAGCTATATATTAATAACAAACATGGATCATAATACTGAGATTGAAAACAAACAAACAAGAAGCATCAGAGAAGATGATATGCAAAAAAGCTTAGAACTAGTTAAAAGAATATCCTCTTTAAGACTATTGTCCAAGTTTTTGGGATTTACCACAGATTTGCCTTATAATAATAATGGACACAAGATGAAATCTCTCACATTTAATGAATTGAATAAAATAGAGGTAATATTGAATTTTAGGTGATGTATACTCATATCATATCGGATCATGGCCCTATAAAACTATCTCACTTATCTTACTACTTATGCAAAACAAATACTACTTATATTATTTTCTTACTCTCTCTCAGTAACATAAGTGAGAATGTTATTCTGAAACTAGACCTAGTATTTATTGTAAAAAAACATATTTTTAGGTATGTCCTCTGTTGGATCTGAATTCAATAATTGATGCATGTTCCGATGATTTTTCAACTTTGATAGTCATACAGTGGATAACAATGTATTTGTCTATGTTAAATGAAGAAACTCTTATGACAGACAAATACTGCAATATCTTAATAAAATTATTTAAAATATATGCCAAATCATTAATTTTGAATGATTGTAAAGGGTTCACAATATATTTTAAATATTGCTTCAAGATAATCTTAGGAAACTTTTTTGATTTACCTAACGTTTCTATAAATTTTTATGAGTGGAGATTCTCTACACCATTAAAAGAATTAAATCTGGAATATGATTTTGAAGACCAATTTCATCAAATTAAAATTGAGAGCAAGGAAATGGCCAGATTTAAATCCAAGGATAGTCTATTTAATGCATTATTACCTTCGGGGATTAAATTTTTAGAAAAAATTCTATATCAAAATGTACCAACCCTGAATTCACTGAAAAGCGTTATCAAAGGATTCAAAACATACAACAAAGGCAGAATAAGGCATGTGACACCTTTTACACACCAATCAAGTTCAAAGGAAAAAGATGAAAAAAAGATACAGGTAAACAATGAAAAATTGATATAAAATTTGTAGATTGGCTCTTTGATGCCTAAATCTATAAAAATATTCTTGCAGATTCAATTAGAAAATAATTTCTTTAACAACCATCCATCATCCGTCAAGAAAACTGTTGAATTTGTCACAGACAGAATATTCTCAGTAATCATAAAAGAAATAATTTCAAAAGATATTACACAAGCAAAAGAAGCTGCTAGTCTCAAATTCTTAAATATCAAGTCAACTAACAAGGTAAGTGCTTTTCAAAAAATATATATCAATATGGCAAGAGGTGTAATATCAGTTATATTAATTAATTCTAGTTAGAAGCGGAGACACAGTTAATTTCTCTGTGCACAGAGTCTATTAAAGATTTAATGGCCATGTCCAATTTAACAATTCAGAAAATTGTGGATGAAAGAGTGGAGGTGACAATTGTGAATTTACTTCCAATCGAAATGTTAGCCTCAGTGAAGAGTATGTGTGCAAAGATTTGCACAAAAAGGATTTCAGTGAAGTGCCAAGCATGGTTGAAAGAAAAAGCATCAGACATCAGTAAGTGTATGATATTATATATACAAATAAAATTGGCACTGAACATATGCAGAAAACTGCATAGTATTTTAAGTGCAATAGGCAAACTCCCAAAGTCGAAGGAGCAAATATCATCAACACGAGTGCCTCTGCCTTCAATAGAGATACATAATTAATTACCATTTTTAAACTTGATTAAAAATTTTCATAACATATTTTAGAGGTTCTGTGCAAAGATATTGATGGACAAGTTGAACAAATAATTAAAAATAATATTATGAATGATAAGTTGAAATCTAATGCAGATTCAAAAACTGAAATAATCTCTGAGCCAAATATTGATATTAATAGATATATCGAACATGTAGGACCATCAGAAATTTTAATTGATGCCCAGGTACAAATGCTATTCAAATTGATTTAGGAGAGAGTTAAAATATTAATGTTGTGTTTTTTATTTAGGACATATTATGTACAATAATTTCAGAAGAATATCCCACTGAGAAACCATTGACAGAACTTTATAATCTTTTGAATAATATAGAAGAATGTATTAAAGTGTGGACTTCGATTTTAAATATGTGCATCAAAGTTTTAGCAACATTGACAGTAGACATAGCAATAGCTATAGGTATAGAAAATATATTTATGATTTTTTTTTCAAAGACAACATAAATTTATAATTGTGAAGACTGGCTTGGCATACATGATTATTAACAGAAGCTTCTTCTATTTTGATTTCTTGCAGTTTGCCATTACCCAAACCAAATACAAGACACATTGCCAAAGTTTCTAAGAATTTGGAAACATGATACATTTTCTACATTTATTAAAATTGGAGATAAGAACTCGATTTCACTAGACAACAGTTTACAAGTTTTGACTGAAAAAACTGACGTTGATTATGAAAATCAGAACACAGATGACTATGTATTTTTGAAGGTAGTGTCAGCAAGGACAATTACATTGATTTCAGAATCTAGAAATTTTGAAGAAGTTTGGAGTTCTTATAGTCTCTTAGTCATATTTTTATTAGATGAAAACTTTTTAACCATGGACTCGTTTGGCGAAGAATGTTTGAAACTACTACGATTGGAGTGGAGTAATGTAAGCTTTATTTTTCATGAAGATAATATGATATATTGCTTTATTGGAAAAAGTTAGATTAAATATGGTGACATATATTAATTATGCGCCTATTTTTCTTCAATTTCGGAACTTTGCATACTATCAGTAAAGTTGAAGCGCCAAATTTAATTCTTCGAAAAAAAAAAAATTATTCTGAAATAATTTGAAAATTTGTTTCAGGTAACTCTACATCATTTATCTCAAAATATAAAAATAATAATGGAGCAAAGTCAAAATGCAAAACACACAGAATGTTCAGAAATAACATTGCTTCTGGAGTGGATGTCAGATTTTTGTGATGATATTGATTTGTAATAGTTTTTAATAGTTATGAAATATTTATTTTGGCAAGTTTAATATCAACAAAGCAAGTATTCTTTCCATAAATTAATTTACAAAGAAAGAGTTGATGCTAGTTTAATATCAAGTTTTATCATATTTATTAATAGAATATTTTACATATCATTGATTGACTAAGAAATTTACTATAATTTAAATTAATAATAAACTTAAGTTAATAAATTATATTTAGCAAAAAATTTAACTACATCTTTTAATATCTTATAATCAAACCCGAAACAGAATTAAATAATATCTGCCAATATTACTTTTAATTTAGTAATATATTTGATCCCCATAAATTAAATAGTATCACAGAAATTACAACATTGACTGCCGTAATAAAATTTTTATAAAGTCATTTAAAATCAAATTTTTTGTAAGAGAATTGAAAATTGAGACTTTCAACCCTTTAAAACGTATATTTCTCAAAAGCTCAAAACATCAACTATTAATAAGACTTGTTTCATTATAGCCAATGATAAGTGAGTTACACACATATGAAATATAAAAATTTTGCATTAGTTATCCCACAAGTAACAACAAATATATTAAACAAACAAATTGAAAAAAAAAGTGAAAAGTTTTAACTGGCTGACCAGAAAAATGGTTCTAGTCTATCCTCTAAAGGCAAACAATTATTCAAAGTATTTAAACTTTCTAAAGTTTGACTTAAGAGCATATGACATTTCTTAACCTGATGTGAAACATCATGAACCTTTGATAGTTTTTCCGCGTACTTTGCATAACGTTTCTGGTTGTCCGTTAAACCAGCCATCAGGCGATTTATATCTGCGTCAGTCTGAATAAGAAAGAAATTTGAAACTATAAACGCAACGACTCCATTGTAACATATAATGAGTAAAAAATACATGTTAAATAATGTTAAGCACCATTATTTGACTTTCGAGAAAAATGAGCGGCTCGATAATAATAATACGATAAAGAGTTACTAAACTGAATACTAAGATTACTATCACAGATAATATATGTTTAATATAACTGGAGATGCATAAACAGTTGATAAATAATAAAAAGTGTATAGAATATAATTTATGTACGTTATAAATAAATTCATTACATACCTCTTTTATTTTTTGAACAATATTATTTTGTTCAGTTGCCACATCATTAGCCCTTGTTGCATAATGTGCTTGCATTTTAAGACAAAGGGCACGTAGTGGTGCAGGCTGCAAGCGTTCTAATACCTATAATGTAATATAATTATACAATTAAATTCAACCTTCAACAATAAACCCAAAAAAGTTTCTTGCAAACTAATAACATTCTTCATTGTTTTATAGTTTGAAAAATGATCTTATCATAAATAATTATCTTAGACACAATTTTGTCTTAAACTTAAGTTTAGAAAATTATTCAGTTTTGAATAAAAGAACTTCAATCCGCTTGAGATAGTTTTATCTATAACTTATTCAAAATCGTTTCCGAACTCATAATTATATTTAAAGAGTATTAAAAAACGTATAATGCGGTTAGACAATATTTTCCTCACCTCTGGATCCCTATGAGATGGTAAATTCAAAGTCCCTCTCATAACAGGTAAAAACATTGGAATACTCTGAAGTCTTTGAATGTCAGGGTCTGATTCTGGTCCCCCTTGTGCAGCTCCTGATTTCACAACAACAATATTATGCGCCTTAGTTGCGCGTCCTAAAGCTGCAGAAGCGCTTGCTGGCGGCTGTTTGCTGTTTGAAGAATATTTGCCGCCTTGGGTCTGATTTTTGTTTTTGCCCAGGCCCGTGCTTCGCGACCTCGTCATTAGAGGTTGTTTGAGATTCTTGTTTTTTAATTTTGGCGAATCTGAAGAAAAATGATTAATTAAAAGTATGATATTTGAAAATGAAACTTAATCAATATATTTCATGAACAATAATAATAATTCGATAAATGATGAGATTTTTGACTCAGTTGGCCTTTTACAGCAATAATATGATTCTGAAATTTTTCCTAACTAATGATAATTCTTATTACTTATTTCACAATCGTTTAGGTATAAATAAATAGTAATGTGTTTAGGTGCAGCTTAAATCGCAATCGTGAAAAATTCCTTGCTCGTACTGTTTTAATAGAGAGCGTTTTAATCGTACCGAAAACACATTTTTGAAAAATCTAAAAATACCTATATTAAAAAAAACTTGAAATTTTAGAAATTGTTAAACATTAGCCAACTAAATCAAGTTTTAGTAAATACTAAACATTGTATATAATTTTATTTACACTAAATATTACAGGCATTTTTCCTTAGGGGGTTTCACTTAGGCAACCTTATCCTTTACATTCAATCGGCCTGGTTATAGCAGAGGCCAATGTCAAAACCATAGTATGCTAATAGTATCAAAATACAATCAAATTCCGAATAAAAAGCTCTTGAATTATTTTTCATAATATAATTTTTCAGTTGCTATAGATTATTTGCCATGTTTCAAACCAAATAATGCAGTAATAATATTTATAGTTTGCACGTAAATAATTAGAACTTACAGTTAGGGTTTATACAAAAATCGACATTTCAGAAAACCGGTTTTCAAATTTTAATTTCACTAAAAAACCGATTTTAACCGGTTTTCGAACTTTATATAGAAAATAAATTTTTGCTCGAACATTCTGTAATTTATCCGCAAATTTAGCGTAATTTAGAACAGTATTTGACTGAATTTATTTATTGTTCAATTTTATAGATAGTAAACAAATTTATTTTAATTTTAATTACTAGAACTAAAAAATTATAGTTTATCTTGATTAAATATAACTTTGAAAATAATTAATCGTATTCATCATTTTCACATATAAGAATGAAAATATTTTTATGGTAGTTAAAAGGAAGTTTTCGAATAAATAAAAATAATACATTTGTAAATTAAAAAAATCATTAAATTAAAATAAATAAATAAATAAATGTAAAAATATTAGATACATTCTGATACATACTTTTTAATATCAATTTTAGCTTTAAAAATAGTTAAGTTAAACTCGGGTATTATCTGTTCCGAGTAACTTTAATTAACCAATTTTAAACATTCTAATTGTTTTTTTGTTTGATAAAATACGATTTCAAAACACTGAGTACGTCTATCGAATTTCTACATAGACGTGTCCTTTGTTTACTCACAAAATTTCCCGAAAAAGAAAATACTCTCATACTTGCGACCAAATTATGCTTAATTGTTTTTAAAGCCTGATATGATAATTGCAATTTTTTTGTTCTTTAATTTGTGACTTCTAGGGTTTAAACCCCTTTTTTTTAAGTTTGAGTAGAGGAAGTTACTTCTTCAAGAAGAAGTCACACTGATTTAAATTGAAATTCACACTGGTATAGAAATTCACACTGGTATAAAAATCTAAATTAATATATACATAACTTTTCTGGGAACCATTGCAGACTTATAAGATATCAAATGCTATTGAACCGATATGATTTCACGAATTAAAACGCTTTTATCTATCTTTTATATTTGGCTATATTTGTCATTTTCCATTTATACAGTGAAACCCGACTTTTTTCACTAAAAAACCGGTTTTTGAATTCCATAATTTTCGCCAAAAAACCGGTTTTTGAAAACCGACAAACCCTAATTAGTACCTTTATTATTATGCTTTGGTTCACGTCGGGTATAAAATGTTTTGAACAAGACAAAGTATAATATAAATAAGTATAAAATGTTTTGAACAAAACTAAATTAATATATACCATTTCTGGGAACCATTGCAGACTGATAAGATATCAAATGCTATTGAAACGATATGATTTCAAGAATCAAAACGCTTTCATCTATCTTTTATATTTGGCTATATTTGTCATTTTCCATTTATACAGTGAAAGCCGACTATTTTCACTAAAAAACCGGTTTTTGAATTCCACAATTTCCGCCAAAAAACCGGTTATCAAAACCGGTTTTTGAAAACCGACAAATCCTACTTACAGTACTATTTAGTATAGTAGGTTTTATATCAGATTAACTTAATTTTCTACTTATAAATTTGCAATTACCTCCAATAGGTCGATTGACAGTGTATGATATATACGGCAAATCTGCGTCTGAACAGACGCTCGGTCCAGGCGAAATGCTTGTAGGCCGCTCCATTTTGGCGGCCTCGCAACCGGAGGCAGCGATCGTGTGGCCGCGAACCAATCGGCCGCCACTGCGGGGGCTCTCGCTCCTCCTGGCGTTAGAACTTGCCTCCCGAGCAGCCGCCGCCGACGATTGCTCAGAACCCATGATTTTGCCTGGATTAAATCAGTAATCTGAAATAAATATATTGCATTAATGAAAATCACAAATTTTTATAAAATTTCGAGGTTAAAAGAAGATTGTGTCCATTGTCCAATAATAAAATTAGAACTTCGTGTCCAATAAGGGAAAAGTCAATAAATAATAATCTAAGTAAGTATCAGAAGTGTTGTTAATGCTTCCAAAGTTAATCACATATCTAATAGAAAATTTGCAAATTATCTATGATTTATATCAACTTTACTCATATATTTTAACTTCCCGTAGGGTAAGTTATTGTAAAGGGCCGAAAATCGGAATTGAAATTGTTTACATTTCTCGACGTTTTGAAGGTTTCTGAACGTTCTGGCAAACCTCAGAAAAAATAGATGTGTGTGTGTGAGTGTGAGTGTGTATGTATGTATGGACACAATTTTTTGTCCACGTTTTCGGGCGCATGGATCAACCGATTTGAATGGTTCAAAAAACATTCGATTCCTATTGATAGGGAGATGTGCTGATTACTTTTTGGCAAAGGCAGGTCCAGCCGTTTCGGAGATATGGAGCAGAGAGTGCAGAAAATAAAAATTGAGTTTTTGAGAGATCGGAGCATCCGATTTGAATGATCCAAAAAACATTCAATTCGTATTGACGGGGAGAAGGTGTGATTAGTTTTTGTCCAAGCCAGGTCCAGCGGTTTCGGAGATACAAAGCTAAATGTGCAAAAAATGGCAGTTTTTGAGAGAA